AGCTCCAAAACCGGATCTCGACGCCAGAGCGAAAAAAAAAACGATTTTGAAGCACTTTTTAAAAAGATTTTTAGAAGGAAAATCACTAGCGCCAAACTGAAGAAAATCTGCTGACAAATCACTGTCGCAGCCTTCATGCAGCCACTCCAATACGATTTACGAAGTCCAGCTGCAAAAGACAATAGTATTACGTATGCAGCCAAAGCAGAAGCAACCTTGCAATCCCATTTACATTGCGGGAAGGATACTACAGTTGCAAATCACAATGGAATTCCATTGGCAACTCATCCACCAGCGCCACTTGCAATCCCATTTACATTGCGGGAACGATCCTACAGTTGCAATTCACAATGGAATTCTGTCGACCGCACATAGACGAAACACAGTTGAAACATGTTGAAACCCCATTTACAATGCGGAACCGATCCGAGACCGATCCGACCATGATCCGAGGATGATCCGACCACACACGAGACCGTCTCGCACCCGTCGCACCGCAGAGGTAGATCATCGAGGTTCGGGGACAGACTTTGTATGGAAAAACATAGGCTTTCGTGCATCTGCTATCTCTCAAAAACGCATTTCGTGCGAGACTTCCTCCAAAACTCCATCGGCAACTCCTCCACTTGCACCACTTGCAATCCCATTTACAGTGAGGGAACGATCCTAGAGTTGCAAATCACAATGCAATTCCATCAGCAACTCATCCACCAGCACCACTTGCAACCCCATTTACAATGCGGGAACGATCCTACAGTTGCAAATCACAATGGAATTCTGTCGACCACAAATGCACGAAACACAGGTGACACCACATTTACAATGCGGAACCGATCCAAGAATGATCCGAGCATGATCCGAGAATGATCCGACCACACACGAGACCGTCTCGCAACCGTCGCACCGCAGAGGTAGATCATCGAGGTTCGGGGACGGACTTTGTATGGAAAAACATAGGCTTTCGTGCATCTGCTATCTCTCACAAACGCATTTCGTGCGAGACTTCCTTCAAAACTCCATCGGCAACTCCTCCACCAGCACCACTTGCAATCCCATTTACAGTGAGGGAACGATCCTAGAGTTGCAAATCACAATGGGAATTCCATCGGCAACTCATCCACCAGCACCACTTGCAATCCCATTTACATTGCGGGAACGATCCTACAGTTGCAAATCACAATGGAATTCTGTCGACCGCACATGCACGAAAAACACTTGAAACCCCATTTACAATGCGGAACCGATCCGACCATGATCCGACCATGGTCCGAGAATGATCCGAGCATGATCCGACCACACACGAGACCGTCTCGCAACCGTCGCACCGCAGAGGTAGATCATCGACGTTCGGGGACGCACTTTGTATGGAAAAACATAGGCTTTCGTGCATCTGCTATCTCTCAAAAACGCATTTCGTGCGAGACTTCCTTCAAAACTCCATCGGCAACTCATCCACTTGCACCACTTGCAATCCCGTTTACAGTGAGGGAACGATCCTAGAGTTTTAACTCCTTCTTTGACTAACTCTTTCCCTGACTAACTGTTTCTTTGACTAACTCTTTGTTTGACTAACTCTTTCTTTCACTAACCTCTTCCCTCACTAACTCTTTCTTTGACTAACTCTTTCCCTCACTAACTCTTTCTTTGACTAACTCTTTCCCTGACTAACTGTTTCTTTGACTAACTCTTTCTTTGACTAACTCTTTCTTTGACTAACTCTTTCCCTGACTAATGCTTTCTTTGACTAACTCTTTCTTTGACTAACTCTTTCCCTGACTAACTGTTTCTTTGACTAACTCTTTCTTTGACTAACGGTTTCTTTGCTAACTCTTTCCCTCACTAACTCTTTCTTTGACTAACTCTTTCTTTGACTAACTCTTTCCCTCACTGACTCTTTCTTTCACTAACTCTTTCCCTCACTGACTCTTTCTTTCACTAACTCTTTCCCTCACTAACTCTTTCTTTGACTAACTCTTTCCCTGACTAACTGTTTCTTTGACTAACTCTTTCCCTGACTAACTCTTTCTTTGACTAACTCTTTCCCTGGCTAACTGTTCTTTGACTAACTCTTTCTTTGACTAACTCTTTCTTTGACTAACTCTTTCCCTGACTAACTGTTTCTTTGATAACTCTTTCTTTGACTAACTGTTTCTTTGCTAACTCTTTCCCTCACTAACTCTTTCTTTGACTAACTCTTTCCCTGACTAACTGTTTCTTTGACTAACTCTTTCTTTGACTAACTTTTTCTTTGACTAACTCTTTCCCTGACTAACTGTTTCTTTGACTAACTCTTTCTTTGACTAACTCTTTCCCTGACATTCTAAAAGTCCGTAACACGGAAGTTTCTCCCCCTAAACTTCCTTTGATCAGTTTCATTTACACGTCATTTTCGGAGATGGGCAGCGGCTAACCCAAGGACCACCTCGCCGTTTTTCAACCAATTTCGACGCTCTTCAACCAATTTGATGTCACTTCTTTGCCTGCACGGCTTTCGCAATCTGCACATTTTCAGCATTGGTGTTGCAACGTCACTGGCTTTTGCATATTCATCGAATGCAGGTAATATTGAGTTAAAGCATCTCAGAGTGCTGGCTCTTATTCAACGTTTTTTCCCGAGAGCGCCTGGGCGTAGGGTTCTTCGAAGAAAAGGAGCTGACATAATCTACTTCACATCTTACGTCTTAACATCTTACACCTGCAGATTTTACATCTTCACGTATCTTCACATCTTACATCTTCACATTTTACATTTGCATATCTTACATCTTCACACCTTCCATCTTCACATCTTACATCTGCAGACCTTAAGTCTGCAGATCTTACACCTTCAGATCTTTCGTCTGCTCTTACATCTTCAGATCTTACGGCTGGTCTTGCATTTTCAGATGTTACGGCTGATCTTGCATCTTCAGATCTTACGACTGCATCTTCAGATCTTGCGCAGTCTCTCTCTCTCTCTCTCTCGCTCTCTCTCTTTTGCTATTCGATTTTAAGGCGCCCTGTGGCCACGAGCGATAATGCGGTTCGGTTGTCAAAAACTGGGTAAAAAAACCCGATTTTGTCAGGTCCCAAATACGACATTATACTGGCAGAAAACTGGTTACTATGTAAGAGTGTCTGTGCGTAGATGCGTTGGTGCGTAAACGCCTCTGTGTGTAAAAGTTTCTGTGTGTAAAAGCACCTGTGTGTAAAAGCCTCTGAGTGTAAAAGCGTCTGTGTGTAAAAGCATCTGTGTGCAAAAGCGGATGTGTGTGAAAGCATCTGTGTGTAAAAGCATCTGTGTGTGAAAACGTCTTTGTGTAAACGCCTCTGTGTAAAACTGTGTGTAAAGCGTCTGTGTGTGTGAAAGCGTCTTTGTGTAAAAGCGTTTGTGTGTAGAAAAGGGTTGGTGTGTAAAAGTGTTTGTGTGTAAAAGCGTTTGCGTGTAAACGTCTCTGTGTAAAAGCTTCTGTGTGTAAAAGCATCTGTGTGCAAAAGCGGATGTGTGTGTAAAAGCGTCTGTGTGTAAAAGCATCTGTGTGTGAAAACGTCTTTGTGTAAAACTGTGTGTAAAGCGTCTAAAGTTTTGCAGCCGATAAGGGGCCTTTGGAATTGGATTCTAGGGTCCTTGGTGATTTAGTTCTACCTCTGATTGTGTGATATACATGTTTTCCATTATTTATTTCTTTACCTATCTTATCTATCAAGGTAGGTGGCCTTGGTATATACTAATGAAAATGATCCCAAAGGAAAGATCGTCTTGGGTTAGTGTCCCTTGGATGTTTCAATATATTGTTAATTCTTGTCCGCCATTCGGTAATCATGCCAAGGTGGGGATTGATAATTAGTGTCTCCATCCATTTACCCTTCTATTCGTGGAAGTGCCAGTCAGAACAAACGATCACCATTCGATCGTAGTTCAAATAGTTTTTTTTCAGAACAGGCCACCAGGGGAGTGCGCAAATTGCGGCATTTCCTGTGCAAAGATCCAACAGCATATGGCGCAACCGGACAAAATTGAATTCCATTCCTCTCTGCTGTTCACTGGCTGAATGCACTATGTCATAGCAAACATTGCTGTACTGTAGTGTATCGACCTTGCTTCTAGTGCAACCACGGACAGTGCCTGGCAATCTCTGCTTGGCACATCTGCAATGGCTATCCATACACAAACCAAAAAACCAAAAAAACAAAAAAACAAAAAACAAAAAAAAACAAAAAAAACAAAAAAAAACAAAAAGACAAGACCCAACACTCTCCATCTGACCCCCCTCCCCTTGGGGTGTGCAATCTTGGTTTTTTTGGTTTTTTTGGTTTTTTGGTTTTTTGGTTTTTGCCTGCCCGACCTCTAGTGCAACCACTGACAGTGCCTGGCAATCTCTGCTTGGCACATCTGCAATGGCTATCCATACACAAACCAAAAAACCAAAAAACCAAAAAACCAAAAAAACAAAAAACCAAAAAACCAAAAAAAACAAAAAAAACAAAAAGACAAGACCCAACACTCTCCATCTGACCCCCCTCCCCTTGGGGTGTGCAATCTTGTTTTTTTTGTTTTTTTTTGTTTTTTGGTTTTTTGGTTTTTTGGTTTTTTGGTTTCTTGGTTTTTTGGTTTCTTGGTTTTTTGGTTTTTTGGTTTGTGTGTGGATAGCCCATTGTTTTTTTTGTTTTTTTGGGTTTCTTGGTTTTTGCCTGCCCGACCAGTTTCGCAATTCTGCTCCCAAGTCTTCGCCTGATTCACTCCTGCTTCGCACGTGCTTCGCATCCAATTCGTTCAGTCTCCATGGCGGTTCCCAATGATGATCTCTCTTTGTCGGCTGCTATCGAGGCCACAGAACATCTGACTTTGAGAGATTTGACTACTCATGTTCATGTGGGGCCCCTCCCCATAGGCATCATGACACCGCTCGCGCTGCCCCTGAAGGAGTTTCTTGTTTCTCCTTACTGGTACCTCTTTTTGTGTTTCCATCTCTTTACTGCTAAAGGGTTCAAAGTACATCTCATGTTTAAGATCTATCAAAATGTCTGCGTGGCCTCTTCCCAGGATCAATCCCAATAGTCCAGCCATCAAGCACTTCCTCGACATCATCTACGATGTGGATCCAAACCAGGTCAATGTGGACAACCTCAAGGCCATCATCCGGGATCAGGCTTGGAGTGAACTTCCTGACGTCATGCAGATGGCTAGCAGGCCCACCTTTGACTATGTGAGCCAGTACTTTCTGCTTCCACAGGTGGATGAAAAGGTCTGTCTCATCAAGCATTTCTACATCAAGGATGACAAAATCAAGGGACAATATGTCGCACGCTTGGTGAAGGGCCAGGGCTTTGAGATCTCATGGCAAGGGGTCAACAAGCACAAGGCAAGGAGGGGATTCCAATACATGCTGGAGCAGCTCGGTGGCAATCAATTCCGACGTTTCTCTTTGAGTGCTGAAAAGCGCAAAGTCATTGCAGGCCGTCCCCCTGCAAATGAAGAGGATCAGGATGCCGGGTGGGATTTCATCATCCAACATGGAGAACGTGACAAGGGCAACCTCAAGCAACTCCGCTGGATCCACCGCAACATCAACCGCGATGGTAGTCCTATCCATGGATGGAATGAAAAGCTCGTTCAAAGGGCTTTGGACTCTTTGGCCAATGATGGCACCATGGCGGCTGTCATCTCCCGGTACGACCTCACTATTGATGCCCTTGAGCCCGATGTCCTTGAGATCATTGAGAAAGTTGTTCCTCACCTTCGTGGCCATGCTCTCTGGCTTCTTGGAGAACCCGGTGTTGGGAAGACCCCCCTGGGTCGAATGCTTGCCATGATGTTTTCGCGCTTTCATGGAGGGACTGGCACCTTCAGATCAGCCAGTGACTTCGATTTCTTTAGGGGCGTCTTCTTTGACAAGACCTGCCCTGCTCTCTATGATGATGGAGAGATCGGGGGGGAGTTGATCAAGAAGAAGAAAGCCTTCAGCGATGTTGGCGACCAGGAGACTATCCTCAAGGAAAGATGGACTGCCGCCAAATTTGTGCAACATCAAATGAGAATCGTGCTTGACAACCAGTATGATCCAGCCGATGAGCCCCCAGAGGTTGCGTTGGAAGATTTCATCTCGCATACTGCCTTCATGAAGTTGGTGAAGCCTGCTTTGGGCTACATTGCTGCTGCAGATGCCAGAGCCATCCTCAAACGTGCAGTCTTCATGGTCTTCACCAAAGAATTCATCTACTACCGTTTCCCCACGGAGAAGGAAGTTGATGTGAAGCGTCTGAAGTGGCCTCGTGGTGATCTCCTGAAAGACTCCTGCAAGCACATCATTGGCAACATGAAGGCAGGAGGTCCCATGCCTGATGACTATGAAGATCGAGTCGCTTGGGAAAGTGAATGGCTCAAGGAAGCTTTCCGCAAGCATGACCATCCTCAAGCAGAAGCACCTCCTGCACCACAATCCTCTACACCAATGCTTGATGCGTTGCTCCGTGCTGATGGTGCTGTGCCGGCTGCTACTTTCAAGCCTGTCCCTGTGAAGCAAGAGTTTCCTGGAGAACGTTTTCGCCATCTTCGCTCTGCTTCTGTGTTCATCAATCTCAGTGACACACCTCCCCGTTCCTCTGGAGGTGCTTCATCCCAGCAAGATGAGATCTCTCTTCCTGCAGTTGGAGAAGCTCCTGATGAAGGTGAACTTGAAGCAGACAACAGCGGTGGTGCTTCCTACAACGACGCTTGCTTGATTGTGTCCTTGCAGAATCTTGGCTTGCCTGTCTCTTGCCCTTCCCATGGTCCCTTCTCAGTCTCGTTTGGGAATACTCTTCTCTTGCCTTTGGGAGTACAAATGTGCAATTTGATCCGTCCAAAGTCTTTGGCAGATGGCAACTACATTGTCCATGACAAGTCGCATGCCCACTTCTTTGCACTGCAAGTTCGAGAAGGTTTGATTCTCAAGCAAGATGGAGACCACACATCACGTTTGTCTCTGAGCACAGTGATGAATATGTTGACCTCCGATGTGTATACCTTCTACATCTTTCAGAGACAGTCTCACGCGGCATCGCTCTCAGTAGATGCAGTGGGAGGAGCCATCGTGAAGAAATTCACAGGTTCCCTTGAGCATTGTCTCTGCTTTGGTTGTTCTGGAACTCTTGGTCATCATCGAGATGTTGATGCAGTCCTCTACACCTTGGATGGGCCTATCAACATAATCCATGAACAGAAACAATGCTCAGCCAGAAATTGCAGGACATGCTATGGCTACAACTACCGCTGGGAAAATGGCAAGAAGATCAACACAGTAGCTCTTGCCGATTTGACTGATGATGTGCTCTTCATCAATTCCAAGAAGGCCTTCTCTGTCAAGTACTTGAAGTATCACGAGGAGCTTTTCTTTCGTGGTCATTTGTCCAGTGCTGCAGTCTCTCATGCATATCATACCGTTCATGAAGATGCTGATGCGCATATCTTGTCTCATTTCCACAAGCTTCACGGCAATGCCATCTTCTATTTCATGGCTATTCGAGAGCTAGAGGCTTTGGACGTGCACCAGTCCATTGTCATCGATGATGAGTTGAATGATGCCCACCTCGAGCTATATGAATCTTATTGTCTCAGCTCTTTGCTTCCACCAGCAGATCGCCGCAAAGTCACTTCCCTTGTCATTGACGGTCATCAGAAGGTCAAGATGCAGTGTGCCGAAGCCCCCTCCAAGCGTGCAGGGCGTCCACGCAAATCTGAGACAACCGTTGGAAATTACACAAACGGTTGGATGATGGCCTGCGACCCCACCTCTGGGCGCATACTTGGATTGCAGAGCATGTTTGAGCCTGAAGACAACCAAGTTGCTTCTGACACACTGGAGAAGATCTTATGGCTGTATCCAAAGGCAGATTGCTTGATCTATGATCGTGCTTGTGCCTTCCAGTCCTTTGCCAATGCCAATGCCAACTTGGAGCAGATCAAATTCTTCTCTGTTGATGCATTCCATGCGCATTCTCATTCCAAGACGTGTCCTTGCAACCCCCGTGCTTTGGTCTATACGCATATTTTTTTGGCAAACCTAGATAATTATATATTATATTCATGTTTGTCCATGTTCATCTTTCTATGTGCTTTGTTTTTTTTTGGTATGTCACACCAAGGGTATCGTCGCAAATTGAAGCTTCGCATTGGGAAGATCAACACCAACATCTGCGAACAGGTGTTTTCTTGGGTTCGCAACTTCGCACCCATTCTCAACGAAATGCGGCCCAACAGGCATAGATTTTGCTTACTCTCCTTGGCTCGTCGCCACAACATCAGCATCAGCAAGGGAGAAACCAACTACTTGCATCCCACACGCAGGAACATGAACAAAAAGATCAAACCGTATGGCTGCCACAAAAAGAATGTCAAGGGCAAATTCATCATGAAAATGATGAAGAACAAGATCATGAAAATCATGAAGAAGCCTGCCCAGAAGTCTATGAAGTGAACCTAATGAGAGGTTAGACGGCCCGCTTCTGTTACATATTAGGCGCTTCAGTTCATCCAATCGAGGTGGTTTGGTTGTGATGATAACTTAAATACAAATTAGCAGTCTGGTTGGTTGTATGCACTATCGTATGTGGATTCTGATTTGTTGTATAGGTGACAACCTCATGTGATTGGAAATTTTGCAGAGATGACAGATAGATCTAGGCAGCTTAACATGGAAAAAAGTGCACTCCCACAGCGGACAGCTCTCTTTTTTTTGGGTTGGGTACTTTGATAAAAATATAAAATATATTTTCTATATATATATATAACAATATATGCAGCCGATAGGGGGTCTTTGGAATTTGATTCTAGGGTCCTTGGTGATTTAGTTCTACCTCTGATTGTGTGATATACATGTTTTCCATTATTTATTTCTTTATCTATCTTATCTATCAAGGTAGGTGGCCTTGGTAAATACTAGTTGAAATGATCCCAAAGGAAAGATCGTCTTGGGTTAGAGTCCCTTGGATGTTTCAATATATTGTTAATTCTTGTCCGCCATTCGGTAATCATGCCAAGATGGGGATTGATAATTAGTCTCTATCCATTTACCCTTCTATTTGTGGAAGTGCCAGTCAGAACAAACGATCACCATTCGATCGTAGTTCAAATAAGTTTTGTTTGGGTTGGGTACTTTGATAAAATATAGAATATATCTATGTTTTGCAATTGATCTGGGTTCTCTGGAAATGGATTCTTGGGTCTTTCCAAATATTTAATATATGATGATGGAATTGAATTGTATTATAGGTACCTTATTATTTTCCCTATGAGGTAACCAATTGGTTGATTAAATGGGTATCATCTTACCATTGGTTATTTAATGTAACTATTTGTTTTTTACCATGCTCATAGAAAATTCTATGTGCATTATTATGTTCACTCTTAGGCAACCACTTGGTTGGCTAAATTGATATCATCCCAGTATCGGTTACGGTTATTTTATTTTATTATATTCCTTGGATTAACTGGGGCCCACTACCATTTCTGAAGGGTACCCAACCAATTGCTGGATCAAAATGGAAAAGGTATCAACCACGCTCTTGTCTTTTCTAGGGTGGTGCCCCCATATACCTTTGGTATAAAGCCACCAATGTTATCCCTGATTATCACTATTTTTTTTTTTCAAGTACTAAATTCCCCCCATTATTTCTACGTCTACGTCATATATCCTTTAAATGCAATGTCCAACAGCTAATTTGCCGAAGTCAGGGCGCAGAAATCAGCACCCTGAGTTAGGAAAAAAAATGCCGATATCCTAGGTGCTTGGTGGGGTATTGCCTAAGTAAGGTCGCAAAAATCTGCACCTAGACTTAGGCAATACAGAGGTTGTACCCTGGGATTTAGGACAAAAAAAATTGCCGATCTCAGGGTGCAGAAATTGGCATGTGGACTTAGGAAACAGCCCTACTATTATATTCTACCATGATTTTTGCCGCAAAGGATTCGGGGTCCTTGATTTTGAGATTTAGGAAAAAAAATTGCCGATCTTTTGGCTTGGGGGACCCCGTATCCATCGCATCCACACATCCGTCGCATAACAATATTATTTTATATTTTATCGAAGTACCCAACCCAAAAAAAAAAATATTTGAACTACGATCGAATGGTGATCGTTTGTCCTGACTGGCACTTCCACAAATAGAAGGGTAAATGGATGGAGGGACTAATTATCAACCCCCATCTTGGCATGACTACCGAAAGAAGGATAAGAATTAACAATATATTGAAACATCCAAGGGACACTAACCCAAGACGATCTTTCCTTTGGGATCATTTTCGCTAGTATATACCAAGGCCACCTACCTTGATAGATAAGATAGATAAAGAAATAAATAATGGAAAACATATATATCACACAATCAGAAGTAGAACTAAATCACCAAGGTCCTAGAATCAAATTCCAAAGACCCCCTATCGGCTGCATATATTGATATATATATATATAGAAAATATATTGTATATTTTATCAAAGTACCCAACCCAAAAAAAACCTATTTGAACTACGATCGAATGGTGATCGTTTGTTCTGACTGGCACTTCCACGAATAGAAGGGTAAATGGATGGAGACACTAATTATCAATCCCCACCTTGGCATGATTACCGAATGGCGGATAAGAATCAACAATATATTGAAACATCCAAGGGACACTAACCCAAGACGATCTTTCCTTTGGGATCATTTTCATTAGTATATACCAACGCCACCTACCTTGATAGATAAGATAGATAAAGAAATAAATAATGGAAAACATATATATCACACAATCAGAGGTAGAACTAAATCACCAAGGACCCTAGAATCCAATTCCAAAGGCCCCTTATCGGCCGCAAAACCTTGTCTGTGTGTGAAAACATCTTTGTGTAAAAGCGTTTGTGCGTAGAAAAGGGTTGGTGTGTAAAAGTGTTTGTGTGTAAAAGCGTTTGCGTGTAAACGCCTCTGTGTAAAAGCTTCTGTGTGTAAAAGCATCTGTGTGTAAAAGCGTCTGTGTGTGTAAAAGCGTCTGTGTGTAAAAGCATCTGTGTGCAAAAGCGGATGTGTGTGTAAAAGCGCCTGTGTGTAAAAGCATCTGTGTGCAAAAGCGGATGTGTGTGAACGCATCTGTGTGTAAAAGCGTCTGTGTGAAAAAGTCGCCTGTGTGTAAAATTGTGTGTGTGCGTGGACGATCTAAAGAGATGTAAAACTTCTAACTTGCGGTTTTGCGTTTGCAACGGTTTCTTCGGTGATTTCAAACAAGCAGGGGGGCACGGCTCCATTCATCAGTCCGTGGCCAATGAAGCTACGGATGTTTGGAAAGGACATGCAGTCTGATCAACTGCACGTACCTGCTATCAGTTTCATTTACACGTCATTTTCGGAGATGGGCAGCGGCTAACCCAAGGACCACCTCGCCGTTTTTCAACCAATTTCGACGCTTTTCAACCAATTTGATGTCACTTCTTTGCCTGCACGGCTTTCGCAATCTGCACATTTTCAGCATTGGTGTTGCAACGTCACTGGCTTGCCGGTCACTTCATCAACCCACTCCTGTCAGGTTTAATGGAAGTGTTTTTGCACGTAAGATGCATTCCACACCAAAATTCGCAATGACAGTTTTGAGCAAGCGTGTGTGTGTGTGTGCGCGTGTGTGTGTGTGTGTGCGTGAACCCTCTCAACAGATGTAAAACTTGTACTCTGGAAGTTTTGCACAATGCTCTTCGTTTGGCTTATTTCGATTTGTCGTTGATTTTTTTTATGGCACCTTTCTTCACTTCTGATGTATTCGATCGATTCATGGCTCTCCGCTTGGCTTCTTTCGATTTGTCGTCATTTTTGTATTGTTTTAATTTTTGCAAGCTTGCTCATGCAGGGGGGCACTGAACATCATTCCATCCACTGCCCAACGAAGACGGTGGTTTGAGATTGTGATATCGGGACTGATCATCTCGACGGACCTGCAGAACTCTTCATGTGCGAATGGCATGGCATGGGGGCCAAGCCAAGAACCCCTCTACCGATTTTTGCCGCATGCTTTTCGACCTGATTTCACATTGCGCACGGCTACGGCAATCTGACTTCATTTTAGAACCTTTTATTGGCTATGGCAACTGCACTGGCTACGCGATGGTTTTCACACTTCGAATTTCCCAAATCTCTGGTACCTCATGGATCCTGGAAAGGGAAGGGACAGCGACCGATTTTACTGGACAACAATTTCAGTGCAGCAATGTCAGGTATTTACAATGATGACTTATCCTGTCTTCCATGTTTTCCTCATTCTTGCCAGGTGTAATACAAGTGTGATTTGCACGACCAACGCGTTCCACTTCTCAATTCGCTCAGACGGCTCTGAGCAAGCGTGTGTATGACAAGAGGTTCGGGTGTAAAAGCGTCTGACTGTAAAGGCGTCTGTGTGTAAAAGCATGTGCGTGTGTGAAAGCGTCTGTGTGCGAAAGCGTCTGTGAGTAACAGCGGTTTGTGTGGAAAAGTGTTTGGGCGTAAAAGTTTTTGTGTTATCGCGTTTGTGCGTTAAAAGCTCCTCTGTGTAAAGACTTTTCCGTGTAAAGGCTTCTCTGTGAAAGACCTCTGTCTGTAAAAGCGTCAGTGCCGTGTGTAAAAGTATATAGTTGCGCGCGGGCTGTGATGTGTCTTCGGGTCAAATGGATGTGTCTGAGACAAGTTTGACATGGGGATGCGAAGTCACCACAAGGCTTCGACAGTGTGTTAGCTTCTGAGTTGGCTTGAGAAGGTAGGCTGACTGTCTTGTTGAATTTGGTTGTCTGCTTGCTGGCTGCGAAGCTGGAGACTGGTCAGAAATTGAGTTTTTGCATCCACACTGAATGTGGGTAATATTGAGTTTCGATCATATCAGTCTGCTGAGTTTATTTGAACGCCGTTTTTTTCCCGCGAGCGCTTGAGCGTAGGATTCTTCTAAAAATGGAGCTGAGATAATACATCTTCACATCACACATCTGCAGATCTTACATCTTCACACCTTACACTTGCATCTTCAGATCTTACATCTGCAGATCTTACATCTTACCTCCGCAGTTCTCTTTCTCTCTTTCTCTCTCTTTCTCTCTCTCTCTCTCGCTCTCTTTATCTCTCT